AACCAACGGCATTGAGTGAAAAAAAGAACAAAAAAACAAACAAACAGAAAACGAAAACAGTAAATTTTAAAATGGAAATACGACTGATTTGCATAGACGACGATATGATCGCAAACCCACGAAGCAGTCGAAAAACAGTTTGAAACGAGCTGATGGATCTCTCCAAATTAAAATTCAAAGCTTGTCCGGATACATTAGATCCGAGCATCGAGTCAAGATCAAGCAGACCTTGCCACCTGAACGAAAAAACCTTGCGCGAGGCTGTATATACTTTCTCCGGGACTGAATAATTAGGATAATTTTTTGTTTTCCACATACTATGTGCATCAAGTCTGTATTTGCATATGTTGTACATAATGTGTGAGTAATAAATGTTTTGCCTTTGGCATCAATGTGAGGAATCATAAAGGTAAATAAAAAAAAAAAAAAAAAAAGAAAACGGTTTAACAACCATACAGCACCACCCGTGAGTAATTGAAATTTACGACATTAAGTCAACGAACTTGCATTATTGCATGCATCAAACGTTAAAATTTCTCCGAGACGGTAATCGAGTCGCCGAAAGGAGAAATGACCCACTAAAGAACAAGTTTAATCTGGCATCGTCTCATTTCTTCTTTTTGAGACGATGTGATGCAACGAGCACGTAACCAGCATGTAACTGTCGCGAAACAAATATCCTCGTTTCTACGTCACGTGCGAGAGTGTTTTTTTTTTTTTTTTTTTTTACGCAATTGAATTTCGCACTGTCTCTCGATATTAAAAATTAATTCTCACGTGATTTCTAACATTGTTTTTTCAAGTCTATGTTCATATGCTGATACGACAATTATAATTGTAAAACTGAAGATATAAAAAAGAAAAAAAAATTGTATCTCCAAGAAACATTAGTGGGTATCGGAAAAAGGAGCGCATGCATTAAAGAAACAAACATCTCGACACACCGTAAACAGCCATAAATAAAAAAGCACCTCGATCGCGCAAACAAGATCAGAGCGTGCGACGAAAAAAAAAACCTCTCTTGCGTATGGTTTTCTCCCCTTTCAGAAAAAAAAAAAAAAAAAAAAAAAAGAAAAAGAAAAATACCATCAGTACCTTCTGGTTTATTTTTTCACTGTGCAAAAATCCTTCGTCGCGCTCTTTGGAAAAAGAAATACGTAATCAACAAGCCTGTAAATACATACATATACGTACATGACGAGATTGTGGTCAAAGAAGATGAAGAAGAAGCCAGTGTGAATTAAGGTCGACTTTTTGCTTCTCGTCCCGTGACGCTCATCAACGGCTGCCGTCGCTTTCCCACAATAACGTAATAAATCGAAAGTGCGTGAGGATCACTATCATGGATGGACAGACTCATCCCTCCCTGCTCCTCTTTGGAGCCGTTCGGCGCCACGTTTTCGTAATCCTCTTGTGCTCTTCTTCTTCTCCTCCTCTCCATCTTACGTATATCTTGTATGTATATGTATGTGCACCACCGAGCAGCTCGAAAAAAACAGAAGGACGACGCGGTGGATCTCCCCCTTTCCTCCCTCTTTCTCGCCTCTTCTCCTCTAGGACGATCCTCTAATTTATAACCATCACCTCTCTTTTTTTTTTCCCTCCTCCCGTTCGGGGCTCTGTTTTCTCTCTTTTTTCCCCCTTTCCTGATTCCTGTGTGCGCCCATTACTTTTATTTGTTTTCAATAAACCGATGCTTGAATTTATGGACTATAGATAACGAAAATAAGATGCATGTACGCTCGAATGGAATAAACCAGAGTATACTTACCCCATCGTGACTTTTGTTTTGTTTTTTTTTTCTTAAGAAATCGTGTAGACGTTTGGACGACAACTATTCTTAGCGTATCCTAGACTATCCATAACTTTATAAAAATAATAATTTTGGTGACACAAAATCCCTTAGAAACCAGTAACCCCCAATTGTCGTGCCCATAGTCCCCAATTAAAAAAACAATGTGAAAATGAAAAAGATAAAATCTTCATTCGGGTATGCATAAAATACCCATACAAAGCAGCTCCTCGGTCCTTACCCTCGATCAGTGCAATCTCATCTTTCCCTATGCATATATAGTCGGACACGAAGGCTTACCTACAAGATCACACGTGGTATAGGTATACGCATACACACTCAGTGTTTTCCTTCGGTAAGTAGGTACAGACACCGAAAAAGGGGAGGGAAAAGGGAAAGAAAAAAAAAAAAAAAAAAGAAGAGCACACACACACACGTACACCCTAGAGCCGAGGTTTTTCCCCCAAAGTAATTGAAAATGCCCTCCCGACACCAGCTCGCCTCCTCTGTCCGTTTCACTCGAACCTCCTTATCCCCCTCCCTCTCGCTATCTCTCACTCTCTCTCGTACCAATATCCATGCACGGTAAAAGATGCTGCAGTCGAGATAAGGTCTTCTTCTCCTCCTCCTTCGTCTTTGCCAGCTCGTACAAACACACGTGAGGCTGTGTTTCAGGTCTCTTTCTGGCGCTCACACGAGGGACAAAGTCAGCACAAACAGCATCTTTGACCTGCCGGGAGGTCTATACCATGGGCAGAGAGAAAGAGAGACAGATCCTATCTGCTCTACTGGGCGGGCCTCCTCCTCCTCCTCGGAGACGTACACGCGCGGACGCTTTTTCTCGCTACCCGGACTTTGGCTCATCCTTTCGGTGGTAATAGAGTCGGGCTTTGAAAGAATCAATAAAAAAAAACTGAAAAGGAGGTTCGAATGGTTAATAAACAAGAAAAAAAAGAATTAAGGAGGGAACACGTGCAAGCGATTGTACCATTGTAGGTGCTCCAAATATTACATCTCTTTTACGTTGGGGTTACCAACTCAAGTCGAATCTATTCTCGATTCTTTTCTTTAGTCCAAAAGGGCAGGGTGCACGACTCAAAAAAGGAGGAGGCGATAAAATTCTCGGACATGAGTATTTACGGCGTCCGGGGAAAATCCTAGGGAAACGCCAGAGTGTTTATAACGAGGAAAAGCTCCCGATTCCTGCGGTATATACCGATGACGTTTGGGTGTACCCACCAATAAAGAGGCGCGTCCATCGCTTGTACATTTGATACTCGTGTTGATGCTGTAGGTACGGGGAAATCGGGTGTTTGCGATCGTTTAGATTTTTTTCGACGATTGCGTGAGCCACGCTTCCATGTATATTTTTGACTGTACTATCTTCTTCTCCCGTGCCTCGTTTCCCCCGCTCCTTTTTTTTTCTTGATTTTTCGATCAAATTTACGACTATACAACTTTTGGATTGTTTGTGGTTATGGGCTTGTTTGGGTGTGCCTATAGTATTGCGTTTTAAAGTGAAGGTTACATAGGGCCGATGATATGGCGAAAGTGCCATTTTCGTTCGCCACCCAATATACATTTGAAAAATATTTCATTTCGTAGCTTTTTTTGTTTCCTCAACCGGTACATTAAAAACAAGATTCCTTGAGGCTTTCGATCACTAATCCGATTTATAATCCAAATTTATAAATAACTTTCTTTTCTCGTGACAATACCTTGACAAAAAAAAAGGTACAAAAATCGTAAATTTCGTTTCTCTTATCCACCAATAAAAAAAAAAAAAAAAAAAAAAAAAACTACACCCATAAAACGGAATCATACACAGCAATTACGACCTGGCCGTACAGGAAGGACCGAAAAAAACCACCAATCTAATCTCGTACCCAGTAACATAAACCAAAGACACACGCCTTGGCCAAAACAAATTTAGCCGGTGATGTACAACACCAACACTAGTCTATTAGGAAAAAAAGGAAGAAAAAAAAAGAGTGGAGAGAAAATTGACTCTAGCACGAGTCGACTGCCGACGCAGAACCGGACGCTGAAGCTCACTTGTAGTATCTACTCTCCGCGCCCAGCCGTAGAAATCTCAATAGAGAGGAAAAAAAAAAAAAAAAAAAAAAAAAAAAAGAGACACGCGTGCCTCTCGTACTCGTGTATGGCAGAGATAACGAAGACACAGATAACAAATACGCTACACGCTTTCGTTTCCCATGTACATATGTATATATTTATACGTATGGATATAATAATACCAGCGCCCACACCCATCTGGTTATTGCTATCGCGACGCAACAAAAAGGCCACGACTCTTGCGCCTTTTATTACGATAGCCTTTAGAAATGGTACGCTGTTTAGATGAAGTTGCGTAACTGTACACGCGCGCTCTCGTTGCTACTGTTACTGCACTGTACCGCATATACTTATACGATGGTCGCCTTTTGTTTGGATGATTGAGGCTACCGCACTTACATGCAATGGGAGTGTCGAGGAAAGGAATGTGCATTCGTCCAATGAAATATTCGTCGCTGCCGTAGGAGTGACAAAAATGTCCAATATCATAAAAATACCTGAGGAATTGACGATGTAATTTATCAAGTGCGAGAAAAGCTGTAAGTGTTCGACTGACGATTCAAGGAGACCAGAAGAGGGACATTGTGGTGATTCTTTTTTTTTCCCCTTCCGAGCGAGGGGCCAATCTGAAACTCAATATTACCATCAGCGTTTCGAGCGTGCACGCGCGAGAAACCCGAGCCAACGACGACTTTTGCAGCAACAACAGCAACGCGTATGATCCCTTCCTTCCTTCCTTCCTCTCGCAAGGGCCCATTGTCGATATCATTCGATATACCTGCTCGCACGAGAGACCCTCCGACTGAAAGAAAAAAAAAAGTGACTCTCCTTGCCTCGCTACTGCTTTCTCACGCGCTGCAGCAGCTGCCGTTGGGACAATAAAAAGGCAAACGATGCGCAGTACGTAGTATACGTCTGCAGCCCACGCGCGACTCGTCGAATTAATTTCATATCATTATACCGCCGTCACGCGAAAAGTACGAAACCGTGTTGTTACCTGCAGCTACCTCAGTTCCTTCTTTTTTTTTTTTTTTCTTCCACTGACACGTACGGGCCTCCTTCGTAAATCATTTGGACGTACCTTTTTCTCTCTCGCACACCACGAAGAAGTGCTTATGGGGGCCTCTTAAAGATGACGGACGCCTCGGTTTTTCAGGGGCTCTCGCGGTCGGTTTTGTCGGTGTTTTTACGCGCGAGGCTGCGATAAATCATCGCCCCCATAAGTACACGCGGTTTTTTCTAATTGAAGAATTTTACTACAATAACTATACACTTTGGTAAGGTGGTTTTTGTTATTTACGGGCAGCAGGTGTGCAAGCTATAAAGGAGGGGATTGCTGTGGGAGAGATTTGTCGGAATGTCTAATTAATACCAAGCCTGCGGGTCATGGTTGCGCAATTGGACTGAAGACGGTACTAATTTTGGCGAAGCCAAGACAACTGGTGGCTTTTAGTTTGAGCGCCTCTTGACGGGCTGATAATGAGGCACTGGACAAAAAAATTTCAAGTAATCTGGTTACGAAAAAGACTTTACTTTATTTGCATAAGCAAAAACAAGGAAAGAAAGAAAAAAAAACACTTGTGACGCAATCTTTGTTTCGTAATAGGTTCTGTACGCACAATCTCGAGCGAAAAAATAAAAGAGAGAATAAACAAAGGGATCAAAGGCGCGAGAGTGAGAGTGACGACAAAAGATGCCCCACTCCGGTGCGAGAGTCGGTCGTCAAATGTTGGCTCTCGTCCTCAAATTGTCTTGTCCCAACAATCCCACTCCCGTTCAAACAGAAAAGAGAGACAGAGGGAGGGGCCTCGGCTCGTACAATCAGAGACTAGTCAAAGCAGAAGAGAGGCAGAAGGATTCGCTTGGGCACCGCACGCACTCGTACGGCGTGTCTCAGTTGTCGTAACCCCCCCCCCCCCACCTCTCTCGAGTATTTTTTCAAAGTTCGTGGCCGCAGTGACGCTGCGGGTTCCTTAAACTTTAATTCAAGGCGATGACGTCTCAAGGACACCATCGACGCCGCGGGCCGGTGAACGGCTGTACCCACTCGTCGATATGTATACTTGTCGATTTTCAACCGATTTTTTTTTTTTTTTCTTTACCGATCGATGAAAAGTTGTTATCGCTGGCATTGAGACAGTAATACCCATCAACGCTTGTTTCGCCCCCTTAATTATTCACAGAGCAATAAGGAAACTCCTACGCGACACATTTTTCACACTTTTTCATTATTCATGCGTATGGTACATAATTACACATACACGAGAGTAACGAGGAGTAAGGAAGGAAGGGAGGGAGGAAAAAAAGCAGTTTGGCTCGTTAAAACAAAAATCACACTGGCCACAAAACTTTCGGTTCAACCTAATTGCAGAAATATCATAACACGGCGGACGGGATATACCCCGAGGCGATCGATACTTACTTACCCGATGGAAGAAATTTCCCTTCCAGAAACTTTGACCACAAAAAAAAAAAAAAAAAAAAAAAACACCTCAGGAAGTACTTTTGCCGCAAATATCGAAATTCCCGCTCTACTGTAAATATCCTCCACACACCCGGACCTTGGCCGCCGTTGGTGCTCGTGTACGCTGCACTCGGGGCCTCTCGGTCGTTTGCATCAACGACACATTTTTAGCGCGCCCTCGTTAATTAAAGCTTATCGGAAACCGAAGGTCTCTGCTTCCTCGACTCCCCCTATACTACCTTTAGTGCAAAACTGATCCCGAGTTTATATATACATGTAGATGTAGGGGGGAACGACACGAGTGCCATCACGGTAAAGTATGTATAAAGTGGGTGTTCTCCTCTTTTATATTTTCTTTTTTTTTTTTTTTTTACTTTATATACGTACATAAATGACCTGGTTATAGTAGGTACTAAAAAAAACATCTGCCATAAACGCTCGTTATGTTTGCGATCGATCGAGGGTAGCATCGATGCGTCCATTATAAATATATATAGGCAAGGAAAGGTATATAAGTGCGTGCGTAAAAATCCATGATGGGTCGAGCCGTAATATCTCGTAGAATCTATACATGTATACGCGTGTGTAAGGTATCAGTGTGGGTGTGCAAATAGTATACGTATGGATTGGTTTATGCTTTCGCAAAAGTAGGTACGCGCGAGAGCCGTATTATATATATATATATGTATACTTGGGTGTGTACGAGCGATTCGGGGCAAAAGATGCGCGTCTTGTAAATAACAGACCTCGACTTTTATCGCTACTCGATACATATATATATATATTATGGTGCGTCTGTGTATGTACAGGGATATATTACGAAATTCTTGGGTCTCTGTGCCATAAAAACGAGGGACTTTTATCGTCCTAATAGATGTAACGGCGTCCCTCTATTCCCCGCGTCATTCGCCGTATTTCGAGTTTACGACTATTTTCCGATCTAATTAATGCGTTTTTTTTTTTTTTTTTTTTCTTTGTCAGATAAGTTTTGTAATTTTCCGGAGTATTTATGCGAGGGGGTAGCCCTTTTTTCGCTCGGGGAGATACACGTCCGTAATGGACCTCCGAAATTTGGCCACGTGTTTCTGTTGATTGTACGAGACGATGTAAAAAAATCTGGCATATAATAGTGCAAAATATATACTTAAGTGTATACGTCAACGGTGCCACCAGATCTTCGATCTATACGTATATACCAACTGCTCCACCGTAGATTATGCGCACTTTGAACACGGGGATATCCCCGAAATTTCGATTACCATTACAAAAGACAATAACAACGAGCCCGTACAAGGTCGGTTGATTGTATATATTCAAGGCTGAATAGCAGCACATGTGTTGCTTTCGAGGCGAAAATTCGAAGAAACGTTCCCCCGCAAGAGCGATAATAAGCATCTGATAAAAGACGAGGGAAGGGAGCCTCTCCGTCTATACGAGCATCACGCAGTTGGCTGTTCCCACTGACCTGGAGAGGAAGTCTATATAAGAGTGGACCGTGCAACATTTCAAATCCCCGGCTGGGGATGCGCGAAAGGACAAAAAACGAAGACATCGAGGGTATACCCACACGGAGGCCCAGAGCAGTCACTTCGGGAGATCGAATTAAGATGTAGGCGAGCGAGTGATTTACGTCGCCCGTGACCCTCTAATTGGCATCCCAAAGCAGCGACACGCGTACACATACGTGCCCACCAAGCTACGCTGTTTTTTTTATTGCCCGTGTGGATGTTTTTTATATCTATATGTATCGGATGTAAATGGCTGGCACCTCCCTTCGTCTCCCCATCTCGCGCGTATGCGTAATTAAACGCGTGGGTGTGTCACTCCCTCCGTCCAACTGCAGAAACAGTCGCTGTCAATTAAGGTATTCCCCAAAGGACCATTGCGCTCGAAACACCAGCGGCAGTGGAGTATTTGCAAATTTTTTATTTTTTTTTACTACTCCGTCCATGTACGCGCGGGAGATCGGATACGTCCATGTTTTTCCTGCAACGCTCGGTTGTAAAAAAATACGGTCCTGTTGGGCCCTTTCGCGCGATTTCATTTTGGGCTTTTTTTTAGAGCAGAGGACCATACACTGTGTTTATTTTTAATAAAGGATTTTTTTCGCACGAGGCTGTTTTCCATGCAGGATGTCCCGCGCGATACTTTTTGTTTGCACGGAAAGACCCCCCGTTTGAATTAACGCTTGGTCACGTAAAACCTCGATTATTACCATAACGCCACACAGCGGACGAACTTTAATTCGGCCTCCCATCGGCCCGTGGGCCAATTAACCCAGTTTGCTCGGCTGTGTTTGAACGCATAAACACGTCCCCGGAGCTCGGAAAAAAAAACCCGCTTTGGCTCCTCCGCTGGAGTTTTGTTTCTGTCCCAAAGCGAGTCTGTATGTATATATGCGCTGGCAAACAGACGGCCCAAGAATCAGTGCTGTCGTTGCCAAAACTTTTTTCCCCCTCCCTTACTCTCGGAGGGAGCGTTTTTTCGAGGGCGGCTCGGTTTCGCGTCAAATATTTTCCCGGATGGCGTATCGGGAAACATTTTGGACAAAAAGTAGATGCTTAGGATAAGAGAGATTTTCTTTTTTTTTTTTTTTTAAATTTCGATCTCGCTCTGTTGCAGGTACTCTTGCTGGTGGGCATCGTCGCCAGCGACAACAGCACTGTCGAGGGCAGCCTGGAGGTTGCGAACGCAGTGGGCAGCTACGAAACTGACCAGGTGAGCTGTTGCAGTAACCCGGGATCAATAATGATATGTGGGGCAAAATTGAAACTTGGCATGAAATAAGTTATCATTGCTTTGGTACTGCAAAGAGTAAAACAAAAATTGGGGTTTTTTTTAGAGTTGATATTAAAAACCAACACCAAAGGACGAGTCAATATTATCGATTGTTTTTGTATAAATTGGTCATTTTAAGGCATCAGTGCAAATCTTCTCTTGTGATCGACCCACGTACCTCATTGATTCAAGTCGAGTCATCGAAGTATGGCAGATTGAAATCCAATATGGTGCTTTTCACGCCAAAGGATTTTCCCTGGGTTTAAAAAAAAAAGGCAAGCCAGCGACATTCGCGCATTTCACATCCGGATTCATGCATAACCATCGAAACGCACGATAAGTCGTACATTCAACGTCGTCGCCTTTGCTCCGAAAGACAAATCGCAAGTAAAACCCCCCGCAATCAGTCCTCCCGCATCTTTTTCGGCGCTCCGGGTCCCGCGCTCGCAGCCACCCACGCGAACGCGCGGGGATAAATAAAAGAGCCCCGGTGCGGTTCAACGGCTCGGTGTGCTCGTGCACGCGCGTTGCCAAACGTCAACCTACATCTCACGCGCGTGAAAATAAAAAAAAAAATAATAAAAAAATCCGAAAGCCCGGCCAGTCGGAAATGGGTCGCGTGCAACGTCTCTCTTTTTTTTCCACCCCCCCGCGATCGCATTTCTTTTGACTCCCCCTGCAAGCGCGAGACTCTTTTTTTTCTCCCTCGTCTGATATACCCGTCCTCTTTCTCGGTCTACCCCTGCACTATTGTACACCGGTGGCGTACGTGCATGGACTCGAGAGTACACCCTACGTAAGGAAAAAGAAACCGTACACGGCTGATGAGCGCACGGGGGTGTATAATACACACAAGGTTTAAGGACGTTCGGTAAAGACAGAACCCTGTGATGAATATTTTTGAAATTTTAACCAGACGTTTTTATTGTTGTTACAACGAAGCTGTTAAAATTTCAAGAGGTTCGTCTGTTTCGTTTCCGAGATATTGAATTTCAAAGTTCAGTCATTTTAACACGGTTGCTTATGAGGAAACCTATAAAACGTCCTTAATTTCGTTATTTGCCGATGCGTTGGGGGAACAAACGATGCTTGACGAGCCGAAGCTCTGCTGGGTGTAAAATTGTGGACCTTTATGACTCTGCTTGGGAAGGAAATCTTTGACTTTAGGCCAGATGATGGACTAACAAATTTTGATCGAGGATGTATATTCGGCAGAGGGACAAAATTCCAGCTTACCAGAGGCGCCCATCCGCAGTAGAACAAGACGAGGTTCGACGAACCTTTGGAAGGGCGTGGAGACCTCTTCGGGGGTGACGGGCGAGAGGAGGGAGTGGAGAGGCTCTCAAAATTCATGAGCCTAACTTTTCATTTTCGCCCATCCGGCGCATTTTCACTTTTCCACCCTCCCTCTCTCTCTCTCGGATCCTCATCTCTTATTCCACTTTGCACGTACATACCCACACGCCCGTCTGCATTCGCACTCAGCCTTGCGTCCCTTTTCGAAGGTTTGCCCAGAGGATGGGAAGACTCTCTGTCCCGTTACTCGTGCCACCCTTTTTTTTTTTTTTTTTACTACTTGTCAACCATTGATTTGTCATAGTTTTACCCACGAGTGCCACACGTCTCACCAACGTCATTTACATTCTCGACTTACGCTTGTCTATATTTGTCCTCAAACTTGCCCTTACACCTCATACGGGCGTTTTTGTACTCGCAATTAGTGGTTGGATAACACGTATTGTACGCACGAGTTACGTTTGTGTACACACTCTCGCCCCCGAGGGAACCAACATATCGACATCCTTGAGCATGACCCTACGTGCACGTGCACGTCTGTACCGTGGAGGTAAAATGTCCATTTTTTGCACTGTGCTAATGAGTTTGTGGGTGAAGAAAAAAAAATGCGAGAAGGAAAGAGAGGAGAACTGCGCTGCACGGAGAGTTTTGTAAAGTGGAATTCTCGTTACTTTGGAGCGTGTGTTATACAGCTGGTTGACATAGTTCGGTTGGAAACGTTAGGTACGTGCAAATGGCCAAAAAAAGGCCTCTGTAACCACTATTGTAAGAATTGAATTTTTGTTTGGCCGAGGTTGATGTGTGGCCTTCTGTCTTTGCCGAATAACTCCAGTCTTCCCTGTGGAATCAATTTTTTTCGTTTCTATTTACCAACACCTTGTAAACTCCGAATAAATCCCCGACAAAGTGCATGCTAAAAACAACGGATGAATAACACCCTCTGTCGCGAGGACAAACGACGCCGGCAAGACGCGCTTTTTACAGTCCCGGTTGATGCGCCGCTTAAAACTTTCGCGCAGAATATAAAACAAATCTACGTGCTTTCGTAAAAGCAAAGCTTTTTCCTCTTCTACATCACCCCTTTCCTCTCGCGATTACATGTCGTCGAACCATAGCAAATTTACTTTTCGCATTTTCGTTATCCCACATTTGACGCTCGTTCGTACATTTCGTTGTACCTACGTGTAAATATGCACTTACGCGTATGTATATATGTATATAAAGTCGCAATGCTGTCAATGAGATACGTACATTGTTGGCACGACAATTTTCCATCACCGCGCCGCACCACCGGATCCATATTTTACCCCGAGACTCGGGACGCTAAGATTCTAGCGGCGCATTGACCCGACCGCGTACCTATTTCCCGGATTACACCGAGAAGAAAGTTTTTCTACATCATTGAACTGTAATATCTTTATCGATTGCGAGGGGTTGTCAATGGCAGGGTGTGTGCGAGGAAAAGTTGTGTTTCCATCCAAATCTCTTGCGAAATACAGTTTTATTTAAGTTCTCTCGTTCAAATCGGATTTTACAATAACCCAATCGTGACCATATCTATATCCAGGAACTACCAAGCTGGAAAAGAGTCCTGCGTATTCGCGGAATTCATTATCCCAACAGTCCATTGTCAATCTCGGAGAAGCATAGCTCGCAAACATTGCGAAATCATTTTTTTTTTTTTTTTTTCTTTCAACCCCTATGAAAAATAGACAAACACTGTGGACCAACAATTTATGAAAAAGTAACGTAAATTATTTGACAGCAAAAAAACCTCTTTCCGAAAAAAGTAAATTTGTCCAGAAACTAAAGTCCGCAAAACATGGAAGACAAGTTCAATCATCCGATCCCCCGGCAATCTTGGGCGTAAACGTTGTCGTTGAACTCTTGCGGCGAGGGGACATCCCACGAGGAGGAGAGAGAGAGCGATCGACCACGAGTCGAGAAAATTGTTCACGCGGTCCATTAAACCCTCCGACGAGCATTGGCCGACCAAACGCTGACTCGAACTACTTGAGCTGCAAACGTCGGGCGTACCGTGCAATCGCTCACTTACTCTTGCCTCCCACTTTGTTTTCTCACAGTGGCGAGTACCGAGACGTACATTTTCGTGCTCTGTTTCTACAGTTTCCATAAAAACTACCTATAAAAGTATTGTATGGATCGGTACATCAAGAAACGAAAACACCAAGCTTATTGTACTCTCCATCGCGCTCTTACTCCTGAATCATCTCCCCGAACGGAATCCCGAAAAACGGAGCCACGACCAATCGTACGCCTGTACTATCACACTGTCCCTCCAAAAAACGTCAGTCTGTGATGAAAAAAAAAAAAAAAAAAAAAAAACCAATACCTCTGGCTTACCCTCGGTTATTGCGCGTGTCTTTACACAATGAGCGCCGGCATCGTTGTCTCCTTCGACTTTTTCGCCAGACCAGCATTAGATGAGCCATCCTCCTCTTTTCCCTTCTTCGTCTAGTCAAGCCGTCGACGTCCTCGACTACGTCAAGGGAGCGAAAATTGTCGACTAAGCGCTTGGGTGCTGTAAGCTGTGTACCTTGGTAGGTACGGAGGCTCGAGGGCAGCTTGGTTTATGGATTCAAGCTTCTCTCTCTTTCTGTATGCTTGGGTGTGTGTCTGTCGTATGTGACTCGATTGAGCTCGGAAGCTTAAACGAATCGTTTAGACGTGGTGGTGATTTTTGTTGCTAGTGTATACGCTTTCAATCGGGGGATGGATAGACCTTTTGTTCAAAACGGAGGGTACGTATATGAAAGCCCAACGCGATAAAATCGAGAACTTACTCTGCTGATGTACTAAAGCACCGCTCATGCCTCATCAAGTTCCAAACGGCTCGCCATAAATATTAACAGAGCACTTTATCACCGATAAAATAAAAAAATAAAAAACCCTCCCGTGAACTAAAAGAAGAAAAAAAGATTGTCGGAGTTGGGGAAAAAAGGTATGCGACTCGGGGATGTAGGTACGCATACGTAGACGTGCACTTTGGTGCGTGTGTGTGCGCGCAGTTCCAAGTTTGCCGGACTAATTCCATTAGGGAAAGGTTACGGGCGACGAGTAAAGTGGTAGTTGTAGTACGTGTAACTTGTATGTACACACGGCCTAGAGCTTTACCGTTCAAGAGAGAGAACTATACGATTACCGGTTAAAACGATTACGGATGGGAATAGGTGCACCGAGCACTTTACGCGTGCATCAGAAGGACAGTAGTGCTCGATGTCGAGAAATTGAGCAGATCAATGGGGTGCAACGGAGGTATACTAGCGCTTACTAATATTTTTAAAATATCGGATGTACGTGCAATAATTAACTCGCATAAAATGTCCCTAGGGTGCATGGTCTTGTTTGAACACCGTCCTTATATGGACCGTACCCGTGTATTTCATTCGAAAGGGCCAACATTTCAGACATACATTGTAGTCGTTTGACTTGATTACGAAATATTACACGTGTAGGTTTAACCCCTGCCTTCGTGTCTCCTTCGTTCGTTCGACGGAAGCTGCACGCACCGGCGTGTGGATGTACATAAGGAAGAGTCGATATGATATACTCACACGTACAGGGAGGGACCGTGGCTGGCGCACCCCCCGTTAATAATTCATGAGCAGAGAGATCCACGAGCC